GCCGACCGGCTCAACACGTTGTACGTGTGAATGCTGATAAGCTATGGCATATAAGCCATTAAGAAGGCGAGGACAAGCGGGGTCTCGGAAGTGTAAGGAATGAGAGCACGGTCCCCAGAAAGGACAAGTGCGGTTTCGAATCCCGTCCGAGACTGAAGTTTTGTCCATAAATCGCCAACCTTGTGAATCCACTCCACTTTGAAAAGCCGTGCTCACTCTGGCAACGCGTTGATCCTTATTGCTCAAAGCAGCATGGCAGTCTGTCCAGGATTCAAAATACACTCGCACTGGATTCTCGAACTTCCCAGCACTGTCCTTATCGAGAAACTTGACGAGTCTTAATCGTTCAGACGTTGTCAGTCGAACAGCCTGAAGTGTTCCGAAAATGTAATTTTCAATTAAAACGAGAGCTAGCGAAATACGTGCGACAGTGCAGCGTCAATATGGAGATCAACAGCGTTTATCATTGTTTCCTTCTAATAGGTTGATGCAATAGATGCTTCGAAGGAAAAGCCATCTCTAGTGCTTGATCCACAGTCACCAGCATCAGACCTTCCAGAATGATAAATGCCTATCTTCTATACGATTGTGCTCATACTTCTAAGTTGACGATTCAACTTTCAATTCAGTAGAACTATAAATAGGACTGCTTCAAGGCGTTTGCACCAATCCAACATCAAAGTTAGCTCCTCAACGTAACTCTGTGAATACCAAAAAAGGTTTCTCCGTGCAAACTTACATCAATAGCGTGGCGGAAGTGCCACTTCACGTACTCCCTTATGTCCTGCTTTGTAGGAACGTCAATAAGGATAGAGTGTGTCATTTTGTCCCAGAGAACTTCACACAATCCTCCTTCTCTGATTGCAATCTAAAAGAGATAGTAATTTTTAAGAAAAGAAACACGTCAGGAAGAGTTTTTTTACACAACAAGAAAAAAGCGTCTAATTCAAGGACACGTGTATTTAAGAATCTTCTGTTAGTCCGAATTCGGATTTTAGCCTTAGATTGAGGGATGGTTCCCACGAAACCAACGGCCCTCAATAATAGCTCGCTCAAAAAATAATCAATCAGATCGGGCAACACAAACGAGTCATTCGTTGTAAATCTATATGATACAGCGCACTAATATAGCACAAAAATCAGACATTCTTCCTACACTTTTTAGTGCGCACACATTCAGAAAAAACTTCCTTGTTGAAGGGCTATCAAAAGAATGCTTTCTGAAATGCTCAGCATCAAACAAACAAAAGAAAAATAGAAATCTAGTGAAAAACGCTTCCTTCAATGCCTACCGCATACGATGACTTCGGAACAGCAACTTCCAGTTTATTTTGACTTTGTGGTCGCGCGTTCAACTTCGATACGAGGACATCACGGAGAGCCGACGACTCCCTTTCGTAGTTCACGTCGGGGTAGTATACCTGCCATCAACATTCTAAGCATTCGAAGAAAAGCTAGTAGGACGAGTTTTTTTCTGAGAAAAAAAAGCAATTCCAAGCAAAGAAAACGATTTCTCGAGTCGACAGCACTACGATCAGGCTCGGCAGCGGCGAAATAGCGGACATCAAGCTTGATGGACGACAGAATAAGGGATTTGAGTTCTGAATACAATAGAAACACAAGCTGAACACAATCAATAGTCAGTGCTCTCATAAAGGAGAGGTATGGTAATGGCTACACGTAGCCTGCTGTGAACTAAAAATACGACGCGGATCGACATCTCGCGATACCTTCTTGCAATGAATCACCCACTTTTGACGACAGGTAGATTGAGCGATTTCACACCGCTTTTTGAGCTTGATCGCAGCTGAGATCAAGACCTACTTACACTCACAGAGCATTGTCTTAGAATATCACTCTCAGAGGTAGCGATTTCTGCACGTGCGAAGTAATCCAAATTGTCAACCTAGAAAATTCACGTTTCAACAAAGGCAAATCAGAAAAAATAAAGCGCGTCTTTAAAAACGAGAGCAAATACTAAAATAGACGTTTAAGACTACCTTATAGCTGCCATTTCGACATGTTTCGTGATTTCGTGTCAAGAAATCGCACAGCCGACGTCGTACAGAAGGGCCGAGAGGAATATCGGTTCTTAGCCGTTTTTCTCTCATCTAAAGCAAAATCAGGTTTGCAGTAAAAGTTCTGAATCATAATGCAAACATAAACTGATAGGTTGAGCTAAAAATTTGACATCTTAGGGTAAAACTATCAACCCGCACTGACTTTTGAAATGAGTACAGATTGAACTGAAAATACTGGAGCAGAACCAGACTGCAAGTCAAAGAAGCACAAATTCGGAAGAGAAAAGAGCAGAGCCCTTTCAGTATATTGTTGCTCTGACTCCAAAACTTGATCGCTTTCCTCTTAAAAACCCTCCAGAGGTCTTTATAGATAGAGGAAGGCCTTGAAGCGTTGGGAGATAAAGAAGGTGGAATCATTTCAAACTACTTCGCTAACATAAACTGCTACAGATAACCTAGCAATTCCAAATTCTTTCCCCTTACATCTTTACGTTTGCGGTGAGTTGGTAGAGTACTTCGTTGTTGAGAACATTCCTACCTTTCCAGCACTTATTTCTGCGAATTCAATAAACGAAAATGCTCACCTTAACTTCATCAACCGTGTCTGGTTCAGGTAATACTTGGTCCCACTTTATACTGCTTGCGACAGTGCGGCATTTCGAAACTGTTGATGACGTGATTTTCAAGAAAGGCAAAAGTGTTGTTGCGACTTTCTTGGTTTTCGCTTCCGGATACCACATGCGAAATGGACGATCTTGATCCACCTATGCTTCTCATACTTTCCTTATGAGCAAATGATTCAGAAGAAAACAAAGAAACAAATGACTTACTTGTACAGGTTTTGTTTTTTCTAAAGTAGTTTTATGTAGGCAATACACTTTACTTGTTGCAGTACGAGCCCGTTCAGCTTCTTCAAGAGCTAGTAAAGGTGAGACGTGAATGATGTCGCAGCTTGCGCGACGCTGAGTAGACAGAAACTGAACAAAAACTCATAAAAAGTGGCAAAGTTGAACAGAAAAATAAATACGTTGCAGCGTGTTGGAGTAGATTAGGATTGCTTACTGTTATCTCGTTAGTTCTTTCTCCATCCTTGTAGTCCCACTGGTCATTTTCACTTTCCTCGCTTTGACCAAACTGAAACAAATTCTGTTCATTTTTAGGGATAAAAGCAACAGAAATGCAAAAAGACTCACAAAGGTTGCTCTTGAGGGCCATAAAATCCAACTATCTTCCATACCTGAATCATTAAATTTGAATAAGAAATGGATGTAAAACAATTTAAAACTCCTGGATACCTGGTGACTAAACATCTAAGCAATGGCTGAATATTGGTGTGCTGAAAAATGAAAGATTATGTTTTTTGTGGCAGAAAAAGACATTTCAATCCAAACACCATCTAGTTCAAGGAGAAACAGCGTTCAATTTCATATGATCGGCATAGCTGAAGAGTTGTCATCACATGAAAACATCACATTTAGACATCGATTGGCGCAATCAATTTGAAATCGCAGTGTTGCAAAGGCAATAAAAACCATGTCGTACCAAAAGCAATAACTAATAAGGTGAATATCAGGCTCGTACTGTAGGAAAGGGCGTTTTGAAAACAAAAAGTTTGGAAAGTGAAGATAACATGACACTGCTACATGACACTCCTGCGTGTGACAGCAGATGGCTCACCAGATTTTGAAGTTCGCGCCGTTTTGCGGCACAGCAACCACACTATTACAGTGAAATTCTAGGCCCTCGGCAGTCAGAACTACAATTGAAAAGGGATTTGACGATATGCATTCCGAAAGACAGAAACGAAAATTCAGTCCGGCACTCGGCTCCTACAGTAACCCCTGACTTACCCGACCGCCCAACCGTGTCCTTGCCCAAAGCCCCTTTTCAACGCGTCGTATATCTTCTTCTTATTCTTCAGCGCCTGTCCCGCGTATAATCGGGGTCCGCTTTCCTGATATGTTGACGCCACTTCTCCCGATTAAACGCTTGATCGGGGAGGATGTTAACCGTTTTGAGGTCTTCGTGCAACGTATCGAGCCATCGCTGCTTTGGGCGCCCTCTAGGCCGCTTTCCGGGCATACTAGGTTGAGACCGATCTTACGAACACTGCCTTCATCCGCGTGGAGAACGTGGCTATACCAACGGGGTCGAGCTTCGCGCATTTTATCGACAATAGGCGCTACACCGAATCGCTCCCTGATGGCATCATTACTTATGCGGTCTAGTCGTGTTACTCCGGCTGTCCAGCGCAGCATCTTGGTCTCCATCACACTGAGACGAGCTTCTACTTCTTTGGTCGTAGGCCAGCACTCAGCGCCGTTGATCGCGACGGGCCGGATGACGGTTCTATAGATTTTTAATTTGAGACGCTCAGGGATGTTCTTATCGCAGAGTACGCCAGTCATTGAGCGCCACTTCAACCACGCTGCATTCACGCGAGAATTCGTTTCAAAACCCAGGCTGCCGTCAGACGCAATTGCTGATCCAAGGTACTTGAAGGTTGTTGTCCGTGTGAGCTCAGTGCCATTGATCTTGATAGAGCCTGGCTCGCTCGAATCAGTGGTCAAGTACTCAGTCTTTTTGACGTTTAACCTGAGCCCGAACATAGCCAGACGGTCGGACCAGGTCTGCACCTGTGACTCGAGCTCGCTTTT